AAATAGTGAAGCAGAAGTGCGTGACTGCGGGCTAGCGGCCGGCCAAGCAAGCGGCTTACCGGTCGACAGGGACCGAGGCAGCTGCGTGGGCTGCACCTTCCAGCAAACCTCGAACAGCCAATTGCGGGGAATCGCATCTGCGCGCATCTTGCAGCGAGCTCCAATATACCGCACACGACCAGCGCCCGACGCCGCGAGCCCACTCTCAACTGCACACAGCGCTGCAAGTGCCCTGGCCGCTCGTCAAGCCCAGCAGCGCCTCCATCGCCTCGACCGCGCGCTCCGTCGCGACTCGTAGCCGGCCTCCCCAGACGATCACCTCCCATCGCCCATCGCCATCGACATCGCTATCGCCCATCGCACCTGCCCCAGCGCTGACCGTGACTGCACGCGCTGTATCACCCCACTGCCCTATCGTGTCGCGCCTTCCGCGCTCGACGCGACGCCGCACCCGTGACTGCCACGCTGCTGCTCTCACCTCCCGCGGGCTCACTGAACGAACCCCGGCACCGCTTGTAGAACCACACTCGACTCCCAGCAGCATGGGCAGCGCGTCTCGGTAGCATCTCGCTATCAAACATGGTTCTGTGTGCTCCTGGAATGCTCCCTCGATTACATGGACCCCGGCCCCGTACCACAATAGCTCTGTCCCATACCTGTCCGCCGGATTGAGAGCCCTTCACTCTCTGGGTCCCCTGCATAGCTCGTCATTGGACCTGTCAGAGTGCCACGGCAGCGCCCGTTCAAGCAGCCAGCGCACGCGTGATCGCACTCTAAAACACGCAGCTGGAACGCCTCAAGCCGTGCACCCCAGACACATTGGCTGAACCGTTTTGCTGGGAACACCCCAAGATCACCATTGACGGCTACACGCAGCACTAGGCTCTCTCCCCAGCGCCTCCGTCCACCGCAGCGACCGTCCGTGCTTGGCCGAGTGCCTGCGCCAGTAGAGGGGATATCATGACCACCCCAGACGCCCAAGATGCCTCTCCTTCGCCCGAGTACAGGAGCGACTTGGACGACGACATGGCTGCTGAACAGACTACAGACCGCCAGTCTGGCGACGGTGATTCCAGCCAGAAGCCTACCAATGGAAAGCCCAATGCAAAAGACCCTCTAAGACCGCGGAGGAAGAAGGCGCGGAGAGCGTGCTTTGCCTGCCAGCGAGCCCATCTAACATGTGGTGAGTATTGATTGTGAGTCATTGCATTCAATGGCGGGACTGACAGCTTCTAGGCGACGAGAGACCATGCAATCGCTGTATCAAGCGCGGTCTCCAAGATCATTGCATGGACGGCGTCCGCAAAAAGGCCAAGTATCTCCACGATGCGCCAGATGGAGCGCTCATGCCTGGTGTGGGCGGCCACTACCCGTATATGAACGGCAACCGCCCAACACCGATACCGAGTCACGACACACAACCAGTCTCGGTCTCTCCGCAGAGCAACATGTACAATCAAGCCCAGCCCGCGGCATTCTACCCGCCCAATTCGATACCAGGGCAAATGCCGGTGGCTCAAGACGGTCACGCCTTCAGCAATCAGCAGTCGCCAATATCACCTCCGTTCAACCAGACACACCACGGCCCAGTACAAAACGCACCAAACCCCATGTCTCAAAATCAGCAGGGCCAATTGCAGCAGTTTGGACCTTTGTTCGACCCAAGTGACCCCGCACTGTTCAATTTCGACATCTCGAGCCTCAATTTCGGAAACCATTACGGAGCCCTGGAATTTGGCATGCTTGGTCACATGTCATCAGGCGCGGTGGACGCACCCCATGATAACGCGATGATGAACATGAACGGCGCTGTGAACATGTACAATGCACAGATGCCCTCAACTTACGCGGACCAGAACAACGCGGCAACCGCTATGGCATACAATGCGAACGGACTCCCAGCAGGCGAGTGGCAAGACGCACATTCGCGGCAAGGGAGCATGCACGTTCACACGCCAAACACCGCTGGCCACGATCACCATAGTCTTCGAAACGACAGCCTCAGCGGTCCTCACGCATTCGTCATCGGCCAAGGGCCTGCTAGCCATACAGCAAGTCCAGCCTCTACGGATGCGTCTACCTTCGAGGGTGACAATCCACTGGCGACCGCAGCGTTTTTCGCCAACACAAACCGAACGCATGCGCAGCGTTCGCCGGCTGTTAGTCGATCACAACACGAAAACAGACCTTCGACCACAGCACTTCAACCAATACACTCGAATGGCGTTCGCAAGCGTCAACGCGACACCAAGAGCATCTACCAAGGAGTTACCAAGCCATACGATTACGTCAAGGGCTACCACCGGCTTTATCAGCTGATCGACAAGAACTACTCGAGGCCTTGGGTCGCCAAGGCACAACAGTACCTTCAAAACTACCGACCGGTGTTACTACAAGTGCGGGAAGAGTTGAACAGAGATGACCTGATCCATCAGGAAATGGGTCTCCAGCGTCAGGTTATGACACTGCAAGATCACTTCGCGGAAGTCGGTACACCATTCTTGATCTGTCGTCGCTCAGGCGAGATTGTCGGTATCAACAAGGAGTTCACCATTCTCACGGGTTGGAAAGACCAAGTTCTCCTCGGCCACGAGCCCAATCTCAACGTCAACACGGGCACGAACCGCGACACAAGCGAAAGCGACACGGGCTCAACCCAAAACACCACACCCAACCTCACGGCGCAAGACTCCGAGACCACACCAAGCGTCAACATCATCGAGCTCATGGACCCCAAGTCCGCCCTTGAATTCCTCCAGCACTTCTCTGAACTGTGTTACCAGGACCCCCACGGCTACGCTTCTCAACGCGTCAACATGCTCAGATACCAGACCAAGGCAGACATGGATCGCATCCAGGAAATGAAGAATGCGAATGCCGGTGCTGATGTTAAGGTCGATCCGCTTGTCAAGGTGGAGGGCGAGAGTGCTATGCAACGGCTCGGCGCGAAGAATGGTATGGTTGATTGTATGATCTGGTGGCATATCAAGCGCGATATGTTTGATATGCCTGTGCTTGTTTGTATGAGTGTAAGTTTAATCCTGGTATCGTGTACGGGTCAAGTGCTAATCGGTTTTAGGTGATGCCTGTCCTTGACAAAGGGCTGCAGTGAGCGGGATAAGTATGAACAAGAACGCAGCTCTTGTTGCATTCCCAACGACGGATTGCCTGAATACGGATGATGGACTTCGAGTTTCTACGATCATGTCATGGCGGCAGTAAAAAAGTGCTTTTATGGTTCTGGTTTGCTGGGAATATTGGCGCATATGCATGGATACCATAGTCGTCTCACGAGACGTGCGCATCATGGAAGGTAGTGCTTGGTATGCTATTTCTTGTTATTCGTTTCAGGTGTTCGAGGGCGTACATTGAGGCGTAAACGGAGTAGACGAGCTGCCACCAAAGGCGCGATACCAATGCTTTCCACGGCTAGAACAACAGTATGATAATAATGTTTCGTTCATTCATAACATCCCTCGTTACGCGCATCGTGAGACCTTCTCTTCTCTCCATCCCCTCCATCACACCCTAATTAATCATCTGCGCAATCCCCACCCCATCCTTCTGCCCCTCCTGATTCCAATTCACCTTAACATCCTCCCCACCCTTCAACCACTCATCCCTCTTCCAAACCTCATATCCCTCCCTCCCCAAACTCCTCTGCGCAACCCTAATATCCTCCCTAATGTCCTCCACCAACGCCTCCTTACTCACATAATCGTACTCCGGCCGTATAAACCCCAGTATCATGAGGCTGAGCTGCGCGCCATAAAAGTCCTTCTCGAAGCTGTGTAAGATGTGAATTTCGATGCTGCGTTGGCTGTTCTTGTAGTACGGGTTGTAGCCGATGGAGAGGACGGTGGGGTAGATTGTGGAGGGCGTGGGCGTTTCTGAGGAGTATTCGAGGTCGAGGACGGCGTGGGATGAGGATTGCGAGGGGACGGATGTATCGTCTGTGGCGCTGGGGACGCTGGAGGCGGTTGTGGATGTGGGGATTGTGGTTGTGTCGAGGGTGCACCAGCCGTAGTAGATGCCCGATTCGAGTTCGTCGTGGCCGCCTATGCTGAGGCCGGAGAGCGGGATGTTGGCGGTGGGGATACCTAGCTGGTTAAGTTAGTTTGGGGTGACGGTTCAGAGGTCGGAATGGTTCGTACTTCTTTGCTTCCGCGTCCAAAGCCTTTTACTACGGGACCTCGGAGCTTTATTGGGAAGGGTGGTTGTGGTGTTTCGGGACCGGCGATGGGGTCGCGCGGTTTGTCTGGTCGGACCATGGTGTTTGTTATATTTGTAGGGTCGATGTAGGTTGGAATTGGAGTATAGAGATCAGAAAGTGAGTATTTGGTGGAGAGGGAGTGTTGAGCGTGGTACTTCGAGCACTTTCTGGTCGGGATGATGGAGGTCCGATCGGAACATTGGTGGGGCTCATGTCAGATAGCAAGCGTCACCGTTGGCTTAGTCAGCGTCGTGGTACCTTGCATCGTAGCTTCTGACGTGGACATGTAAACGGCAACTACATTAGCTTGTTCAGTAACAGGCGATATGCTTCTCAGATATATACCTCCCACACCGAATCGTAAGTCGACAGCTACCTGCTCCAGGTCCTGCTGCTTGTCACCTAACACGCGCATCATGGCATCTGCTTCGACGAATCAAAAGGCAGCGCATCTTTACAATGATGAGCCTGCGTTCATCTACGGCACTGCTTGGAAAAAATATCAGATGAAGGTATTGGTGAAGAAAGCACTTTCTCAAAGCTCGGCAGCAATGGGTACATCCATCCGTACTCTCCAGACATCACCAAGGCGTGGTAAAGCTTCAGATCCTTCATTTTTATTATTCGACTATGAGCTCGCATCTCTATACCTGTATATCAATTTTCAAGAATTTTCCAGTCTACCCACTTCGATCTCCTGACGTGCTCAGCAACCTTCCTATATTTGAGCTTCCTTCTAACCATCCAATTGACTTGCATATGGCATGCGTGCACGGAGAGGCCAACTCTATCCAAGGAGATCCTCATCGATGGAGAGAGCCACACCACCACCTGTGGAAGCTCCGGTAGCTGACGTGGTACTGTCGTGAGCGGGTGCGCGAGGACGCATGATGTGTTCATCCGGAGAAACCCACTCAGAGACTTTCGTATCCAGCCCATGCATCGAGCCCGGCAAGCGACATCCCTCAACCCTGTTTCCCGCATGACCACACTCGCCCCGTTGGCAAATGTGACCATAAGCACAGTTTGCAACACGGCAGACACTACCCTTCGAGCACGGAGTACCCAGGGTTATGTGCTGTAGAACATAGTGTGCTTCCGGTTCGAGGGTACCGTGATAGAACTCGCAGTTGACATTTTCGCACTTGTTGCGCAAGAAGTGGTCGACGCAGAGGTGTTCCTGAACCCTGGAACGCGCTTCGTACACCTCGAGCTCTCTAGCTGTTGGTTCTCGTACGTAGATGTCGATCCGCTGCTTTGCGCTGTTGATTGGGATGCGACCGCCGATATAGCATGCTGGAAGTTTGGACGAGAACAGGGGTGACCATAAGGCCTTCTCAGTGTAGCCAACATCCTTCAGATTCTCGTTGGCAACGACAGCGACTGAAGACTTCAAGAACTATGATCGTGTTAGCAGGAATCCGATTACAGTGTGAGAGCGCGTACGTCGTCGGTTTTGATCTCGCTTTTCTCCACAAACGTAGCACCGCTGATAGCCTGCGGCTTGAAACCCTCCGGTGGCGCAAACACCTTCGGAAATGGCACCAGAAGTAGACCCATCTTCCGCAGGCCGCCGTCCAGACCACTTCCAAAGACTAAAGTGATCTTTGAAGTCTCCTTTCGATAGATCTGGAGGGTTTGGTAGTATCGAGGTGATTCAGCAGCAGCCAGGAACACGTGCTTGCATTGCTCACTCCCCATATACAGCTTGAGGTTATCTGGAGAAGATTAGATTTTGCATGAATAAGTTAAGAACAATGTTCAACTGACCACAGATCTTGTTTTTGACGCCAATGTCGTCAGCTGTGACGACGAGATCGAAGAAAGCCCCAACCTTTTCGAACTCCGTGAAGAACGGTGCAAGAGACATGATCTTGCCATTCGCACCTGAGTTGAGCGACAACGTCTTTAGATCGGCGAAGATTCGGATGACCAGGCAGTACTTGTTTCGTGCAATGTCTGGAAACCTAGCCGCGATCCTATCGTTGAGTGCATTGCGCAGAAGAATCGCTGCTTCAGCACCTCCTGGGCCTCTTTTCTTTAGCAACTCATCGCAAAACTAAACACTATCGTTAGAAACCGTCCAACATGAGACTACCATAGCGTACCTTGTGGCTTGATGCATCGATCAGCATCAAGACGATGGGGTTCTTGCTTTGTGCTCCACCATTGACGTCTCTTGTTGTGTCTTGCAGCTTAGTGCTCTTAGTGAATATGCGGTCGTTCGCCTCATTGTACTGCTTCATGAAAGCTCCATAGTCCGAAGATACATCCTGAACTAAAGTCAACATAGTTTGCGTGACAAGAGTCGCTCGTCAATAACTTACAGCTAGTGTTCTCTGCAAAAGCTTGCCCTTGACCTTCAATGCTTGGAACTCGGCCTCTAGGTTCGCCGTATCGATTTCATCTGCCATAGTGTATCCGACAGTTTAGCTGACCAACAAAGAGAAAGTCAAATGGTAGAGTGGTTGGCCGTGACCTAGGATCAGCAGCTATGGGTAGTAGATCACAAATAGAAAGTGAGAGAGGGAGTTAGCAAGAGAATAAGGTACTTATAACAAGAAAGCCGTGGAGTCAGAGTGGGGCGGTTATCGAGGAGCTACCTTTACCTCAACAGCTGGAAGATGTCGTATTGCTTCGATGATACCGTCTCTTGATGTACAGTTCTATTACCTGCTCATGCTTTATGCAACCACGTCATTAGCCTCCTTCTCCCTCCTTTGCTCCCCCTTCTTTCCCAGCTTGCCAGAGCTCTTGTGGATACCCTCAATCACTTGCTTGATCTCCTGCAAGAAGCGATCTACCTCCTTCTCCGTACCCACCGTTATCCTCAAGCAGCCCAGACATCCATGCTCCTTGCCTCTGAACCTTACTACCACGCCCTTCTCTTCCGCCAAGCCCTCATACACCGCCAATGCCGTCTCGTTCGATGGCTTGCCGCCCTGGTCCGCCGGCGCATCGAGTATCTGGTAGAGCAAGAAGTTCGACTCCACACCGCCGTGGAGGCTTCCGATACCAGGGATCTTGGGCAGCTCTTCTATCAGCCTGTCGCGCTGCTTGACGATGAGGTCCTTGTGGCTTTGCATGACTTGCAGGTGCTTCGGGCTCAGGGCGGCGCGCGCGATCTGACTCGTTGGGTTGGGAATGTTGTAGGGTGCCTTCATGTTGTTGAGGATTTGCGCGATGGCTGGGTCTGCGAAGGCGGCACCTAATCGAATGCCTGCAAGACCGAAGGCTTTCGAGAGCGTCTGCATGACTACAAGGTTGGGCCATTCGGCGACCCACTCTGCCAGACTAGTTCCATCGGGCGCGAAGTCGATGTATGCCTCGTCCACCACTACGACACCGTTCCATGGGTGTTCTAGTATCTTTTGTACGTCCTCCTTCTTGAGTAGCTTTCCGGTCGGGTTGCCTGGCGAGCACAGGTACGCCAACTTTATGCTCTTGTCCTCATCCATGGCCTTCAATATCGCGGGTACATCGAGATCGAAGCTTGGTGTTTGCAGGGGAATCTTGGCGAGCGCAACGTCGTTGACTTGCGCGGAAACGCTGTACATGCCGTATGTGGGCGGACATGTCAGGATCTTCTCCTTGCCGGGGACGCAGAAGGCGCGGATCAGGGCATCGATCGCTTCGTCTGAGCCGACACCAACGAAGAGGTTGGCGGGTGTTATGTTCTTGGAGGTGTGGGTGTGGGTGTTTCGGAGGTTGCAGAGGAGTTGCTTAAGTTCTTCTTGGTGGCTGTGGTACGTCGTCAGCGTGTGCGATGCAAGCGGTCGCGGTGTGCATACGGATCTGGGTATCGGTTTAGGCCAAGCAAATCGACATCAATCGCGGAAGATGAGTCGGAAGTGCCATTGACATTTGCGCCAGGCAGCTTGCCCTCGCCATTCAATTGTAGTCCCGGCCCGTATGCGTTCTCGTTCGCGTCGAGGAGGATGTTGGTGCCGTCATCTTTGTAATCGCTACGCGTCGTGAGCTGGGTACCGCGGTAAGAGTCATGGATATTCACCTACTCGCGCGCGCATCGGTACGGCTCCAAGGCGAGAATATTGGATCGCGCGCATTTCTGCAGATCGAATGCCGTGTTCTTTGCGACCATTGTGTATGTTGTGGGCGGATAAAAGGAATTGGGGGTTGGAGTCGAGGACCGCTATGTCCAGTCGAAGTTGGTGTTCGCGGGGAACTTTTTGTTTCGCGGGGCGAGACGCGGCGATGTCGGGAGTCATCACATCATCGGAGAACTATCTTGATTGAGGAACATCGATGCTAGTTCATAGGAGCTGCTCTTCGGCGCAGGTAATGATTTTCATTTTCGGGTGAACTATTTGCGTCCGGTGGGCGAGTATACAGTCAAAGCTGTTGGTCGAATGAGATAATACATGAACTGTGGTACGAGCTCTCAAGCCAGGAGGTCTTCGCAAGCTGTTCAGATTTCGATCAGAATACAATAGAGATGCCTGGTGTACTTCAGTACGGTACTAGATATCCTGCGTAATCCGAAAGTGTCTTGAGGACCTCCTCGGCCATGCGTCAACAGTGGCTTCGCAAACCACATATAATGTAGTATGCACCTAGGGCGTCTAATAGAATAGATCACGAGTACAGATAGTCTAGCCTCGAGTCTTTGTGGGTCTGTAATACATGGGCTTGATTTGATTCAGTCGATCTTGGTCCAAATTTTCCCTACCCGATTTCCTGACTCGTATCTTTTCAAACTTGTTTCTCAACCACGTCAAGTGCAAACGCCTTTCTTTATATTGTTTTTATCTTGTTCTTCTTCCATCAATTTCCGATATGGTCTAGTGGCTAGGATTTGCCGCTCTCATCGCAGAGTAAGCTCGCAGCCTCACAGCAGCGCAGTGCCGGCAAGGCCCGGGTTCGATTCCCGGTGTCGGAAGCAGTTTCTTTTTGCTATTCTACACTATCTGAACAATCTAGAAACATACTAGATGTGTTTGGTTTAAATAGAATCATTTTTGCCAACTCAACGTACCCACCCACCACCCACACAAGCCTATCACTCTCAACACTCACCCAGACGTTCAGAGCGCCTTTCTCTTACTCTAGCTAATTACTAGTGTATTGGGAAAGAATAGTGGTCGATTACTGTTCGGTTGAAGAAGTGAAAGTGCCGTTTGGCCATGTTGAACCGACGACGACAGTGATATCCAACAGGCCACCTTATCTACTGCCTAACATCCGGAATGCGACTATCTCGCTGAGTCTCAACACTTTGCTTGACCCTCCCCAACTAGATAGAAAGTAATTAGCCACTGCTGGGTCGAAGCTCCGGCAAACCTCGTTGGTGAAGCATCCACCCAAATTGCTACCACACTTGTCTGCCTGCACTGCGCACCCTTTGATCAACGAAAGACGGGCACTTCATTCCATGTCAGACTCGCATCCAATTTTATATCCATCAGCTTCTCTCACAGCATCAATCAATTCATCAAAGGTATCATAATCTACATCGCACTCACGCCAACGCGCCCATCGGGTCCCAAAGTTCCAGCATCTTCGGCTTCTGCTCGAGCACCTTCTTAACCGTCGAGCTGACAACACTAGGATCAACGACCGCCTGGTACACGAACTGATCCATCCAAGCATCGCTCATGACAAAGTAGCCCTTGTCGCCTGCACGCTCACTCCACGAGTTCTCCACCCTCCAGCGTACAGGCTTGCCATCAACAACATGTACAGCCGTCAGCACCATGGCATGCGTCATTTGGCTCTCGCCAGTATGCAGACGCTCCGCCTTGGACATGCCGAGCTTGATGTTGAAGCCGAGCTCGTACTCGAAAAGGTCCGTGTCCATGATTCCCTTGGTGGAATCGGAGTACTTGCCTACATCCGAGCCGAAGAAGACGGGCATGCCTTTCTTTAGCATGGCGATGCAGGCGTCTTTGATAGTCTTCATGTCGACGTTCACATACGTCACTGGTCGGCCGTTCCAGACGTTGCCAAGTCGCTTCACGCTGAGCAGGCGGTTGTAGGGGTTGCGCGGGTCGTTGACAAGCGAGAAGAGCGAGTGCACGTCCGTTCCAGACAGCGCGCGGACGGTCTTGTTGTCGGACAGTTCTTTAGCAAAAGCAGTGGGTCGCGTCTTGACGGTGCAGAAGTTGCCGTCCTTGTCGTAGTACTCCCAGGTGAACGGCTTGGTAGAGCACGGGGGAGGTCCTAGCATCAGTGTCAGGATTAGGTGAATTTCACGCAGCATCTTCTCCTTCTCTCCAGCAATAGTAGCCTTGATCGCGTCTGGCGATGCGTTGCTGGATGCGATAGCACGCAGACGGACGGCATCTTCGCGCAACTTGGTGGTAATCAGACGGTCCATGGTGGATGAGTTGGATGCGTTGAATGAGTCCGGGTACAGCGAGTGGGGTACAAGACCATACTTCTGCACGAGGTTGGCCACCATATCCCACTGGCCACCATCACCGACAGGGCTGGACATTAGCGCCTGCACGATCCGGCTGTCAATCTCCTCGCCCTTCGTATCCAGTATGCTTTCGAGGAAGTAGTTTGCCTTCTCAATCTTGTCCCAGTAGAAGAGGTATGCCTGCGACAGCTGGAACTCGGACAGCTTGTACTTCTTCATGATTGCGACGCGAAAGACGTTGGTCGATGCGAAGAGCCAGCATCTTCCGGATGAGGCTTGGTTTGTGACGGGCGAGCCCTCGAAGGGAATCTTGATGTTGAACTTCTGGGTGTCTGCGATGACAGCGGAGCGAGATGAGAGCACGGCGTTGGCAGAGTTGGAGCTAAGAGCTGCGAGAGCGAGGCGGTTCTACAGAGGTAAGTAGGAGATAGTATAAGAGCTGTGTGTAGTACCTTTGGGTCTTCCATGAGCTCCTTCTCCCACTCTGACACTGACGCGGCAGATACATCTTGTTGGTACTTGACGCCGGGGGTGTATCGAGGTGCTTTGACAGTTAGACTTGATATACCATTCTCAACGTCATGTAACGTACGAGCCTCTCCGCCAACAACGACAAATCCATCCTTCTCGTTCATGGGTCGTTCATCCTTCATGTGGAGCGCCTGGAGTCGCTCCATCAACTTCTCATTAACAGCAGCATCGGACGGTCGTGACTGATTGTTGCCCATGATGAAGATGGGGACAGAACTTGCGGACTATCGTACAGCTCTCGATCAAGAGATAGCTATGTGTTGTAATCTGGGGAAGCTCTGGCTGCCCATCAAGGTGTCGCTCGTTATCGCGCTTATCGGGCGGGAACAACGCGTGCATGGGTCTCGTGGCAGCCCCACTCCGATCAGATGGCTGGCGCGGAAAGTGCCCGCCTCCATACCTTCCACATTCGATCGACGTGCATCGAAGCATGATGCTTACACGCAAGACAGGCTAACTTGTGCACAACTCAGCATGCAGATGCACGTTACTCACGACTGT